TTAATACATGTAATAGTAATATTACCCTTATTTCGAAGGTTAGAAATAGGTTAATGAACAGTTTTAAACAATATATTTACCATTACCATATTATATACAGAATAGATAAAAGATGCATCAGTTCATGATAATCAAAATTAATATTTCAATATTACAATTTCGTTTTCGTGTAAAAAGCCCTTAAAAACATCTACATGTACCTTAGGGCCGAGCAACTAGCTTACTATACGTGGTACGATTCAAACAACTTAAACCCGTCAGTCTTCATCTGAAAATGGAGACCGGTGTCCCAAGCTGTATTATACGGTGTCTGGGTAAAACCAGAAAGAGAGAGAGAGGGAGAGGTGAGGTTTAACGTCCACTCGACACAAACTAGGTCATTTCGGGTCTAACATATGGTTTGATTTTATTTCAATAATTCGCTTTCGCGTAGGGGTCTTTAGCAGTGGGAGGAAACCGGAGGACCCGGAGAAAACCCACGTACAACCGGGGATTCGAAACCACGCGGGTAAAACCAGACTTTTATTTCATAAAAACAACGTACGTATAGGTGAAATTTACCATTCGTTATAAGTACAGCACATGCATCACGCACTATTTTGACCTCTAAAATGGTAATAGATTATCAGGTCACCCAACGAAAAACGCGTTTACGTCTGCGTAGGGTGTAAATATTGCGTTTAGATATACCCGTAATTACAATATCAAGTCCTGTTTACCAATACAGACAATTTGATTGGTCAACGAATTCACGTGACCTGATAACAATTTTATCTGACACACTCACGAACCAACAGCAAAATATTTATTAAAATGAAAACGAACAGTAATCGAATTAAATACACGTGCACATGGTAACTCGTATTATTCGACAATGGAAGCAAATTTGAAAGATAGATTTATTTTAGGCAGGATGTGAATGATATGAAGAGAGAAAAGTTGCCTTGGCAATGGAGTTTCAGTCTACTCTTAATGGAATTGCAACCATCAAGGACCTCGAGTTTTCGTCCAATTTGAAGGCATAGGCATCTTTTCTTGTTAGACCTTCCGTCCAGCAGCACGGGGATTGTGACAACCCTACTGGAAAATTCCAATGAACTTTTTCGGCAACACCGGGACCTCCTGGCACGCCATTCTCCTGATATGTTCAAACTTTGATTTATAATACATTAAATTATTTAAAGCAATATATCGTGCCAAACAGAACACCGCTCAAAACAACCAGGATTAAACAAAGAGTTCCTTTGTACTCAACATGCAATTTGCAGACACATTTCCGTTCTGTTTGATATCCATAAATATTTTATGCGATCTGCTGTACTTCTATAATCTCAGGTATGAATAATGCAAAGATTGCACACCACTTAATAGAAAATGTACAGTCTTCCTATAGAGTTTAATCATGTAAATGTATAGAATAGAATATGTAAATAATTTAAATGTTATTTGTTTTTTGGAGACTCGGGTTATCCAATAAGAAGTAGATTCAGATTGTTATAAATATTCTTTATCAACACACCTATTAGCACAGTTTGGGGTAATATAATGTCACCTAAAATTTACACACACACCCCTCCCAAACAAATTTCATGGATAGAATTTCGATCTATACGAAGCGCTTTCAAGAGATATAATGAATCACCAAAAGCAATTATATGTGGTGACCTCACTGCTCGAACTGGAACATTGGATGATATATTTCATACTGAAGAACCTTCAGTTCGCGATAAGCAATTTCCTTACCTGACTTCTCCCAATATTCATTTATTGATAATACATAAAACAAAAAACACGTGCCACCGTAAAATTGACCAGTAAATAAGTATGACGTCACCGCAGACATCTTGGACTTGTGGAATCAGTCGATGTTTGCCAAATGATGCGAAATTATCCCAGGAACAAGCATGCCGATATTCATATCGACAACACATGAATTGGCGTAGTGTCGCATCCCCCTCCCCTCCCAAGAAGAATAAGAACAGCAAGATGAGTAATGCCCAGGAAAAGTATCACCCATAATGTAATTGTTAATTGGTGTACTGAAGAATTAAGAATGAAAAGGAACACCGCTATGGACAGCTCCTTATATGGGATAAATGTTATATACTCGCTACTATACTCTTCCAAAAAAGGAGGGGATATTCAGAAACAATACAAAACTGCGGAAATGCACTGCTGTTTTTATTAGAGCTAACCAGTGTATGTTAATAACAGGCCAATTGCCTACACATGAACATAAACAGTTCATATGGGCGGCTTATCTGACGGCCCATTTCACTCGCAAAGAGGAGATACACTGTCAAAAGTGAAAATGGGCGTTTTTGATTTTTGTCTTACTAATGAGTAATTGCTCCACCAATCCTCAGACATTCAGTATTTCGTCGTGGCATGCTCCTAATCAACCGTCCAATCACGATTTGGGGCAATCTGACCCACTCCTCTTGCATTGCCACGGCCAATGTTGTCCGTTGACGTCGACGAACACGTCTCCCGATCAAATTAAACGTAACACACTAAAGCAAAGATACGCTAAACAGTAAATCTTATGCAAGAACCGATAGGAAAGCAAACATGGATAGATAAACCAGCACGCGGCAGTTTTCATCAACCCTTCCTTGAAGTGTCAAATTTGACAATGAACCTCTCAGTGGTTCTGTTGGGGCGATAAGTTCCCGCAGACATCTTGGACTTGTGGAATCAGTCGATGTTTGCCAAATGATGCGAAATTATCCCAGGAACAAGCATGCCGATATTCATATCGACAGCACATGAATTGGCGTAGTGTCGCATCCCCCTCCCCTCCCAAGAAGAATAAGAACAGCAAGATGAGTAATGCCCAGGAAAAGTATCACCCATAATGTAATTGTTAATTGGTGTACTGAAGAATTAAGAATGAAAAGTAACACCGCTATGGACAGCTCCTTATATGGGATAAATGTTATATACTCGCTACTATACTCTTCAAAAAAAGGAGGGGATATTCAGAAACAATACAAAACTGCGGAAATGCACTGCTGTTTTTATTAGAGCTAACCAGTGTATGTTAATAACAGGCCAATTGCCTACACATGAACATAAACAGTTCATATGGGCGGCTTATCTGACGGCCCATTTCACTCGCAAAGAGGAGATACACTGTCAAAAGTGAAAATGGGCGTTTTTGATTTTTGTCTTACTAATGAGTAATTGCTCCACCAATCCTCAGACATTCAGTATTTCGTCGTGGCATGCTCCTAATCAACCGTCCAATCACGATTTGGGGCAATCTGATCCACTCCTCTTGCATTGCCACGGCCAATGTTGTCGGTTGACGTTGACGTCGACGAACACGTCTCCCGATCAAATTAAACGTAACACACTTAAGCAAAGATACGCTAAACAGTAAATATTATGCAAGAACCGATAGGAAAGCAAACATAGATAGATAAACCAGCACGCGGCAGTTTTCATCAACCCTTCCTTGAAGTGTCAAATTTGACAATGAACCTCTCAGTGGTTCTGTTGGGGCGATAAGTTCTTCATCTGTGAACATACTTTCAAAGCATGTCAAATGTCCATGACTATTTATCATATCGCAACCTGCATAGGTATTTGCATTTCAATATCCCCTACTTTTTTAAGAGTATATTAGTCTGGAGTCAATAAAGCAAAGGGAGTAAATAAAGAAATGGTTTTTTTTAATGTCTCTTTTTGAGACTAACCAGGTCCCTTGTGCAATGCTATGGCGATGGATTGCTGTTGGACAGTGCTGTTTGCGTCTTCTCTTTATCGAATTTCAACTTTTAAGGGTTCTTTTACATGTACACCGACCATCAGACAAGAAACTGAAAGTCCAAGAAAATATTTAAAGCTTGAATATAAAATCAAGTAAAATGAACATCCAAAAATTGTAGGGCTTTGGCACAACATTTTCTTAAACATAATATACACAATGAAATGAAATGGGGTTTAACGCCCTACTGTTCTGCGCCGATTTTACAGTGTGCTAAAAGGGATTCTTTGCCCAGACAGCGACACTATAATACAAGCTACTCTTACATCGAATTCCACACGAGACCTAGGCTTTTCGTTTCATCCGAACCACTGACGTTGTCCGTTAAAGCCCTCCGACCTGGACCACTGAAAGGGGGGGGGGGGGCACGCCTAAAAATCCCGAATACAGAACCTTCTGGTTAGTAAGCCAACGTCTTACCCACTGAACCACCGTGGCTCCCTAAAACCTAATATGAAAGGTAATGTAGATACTGTACAATCAATGTGTCATTAAACTACCAATAGAATATAACCTATTGATGAATTATCAAACGTAAATTTCTTTGACGATTGATGTAAATCAGAGTTGTAACATTATTCCCACCGTATTTTATGTACATGTTAAAGATTTAATAGAATATCTTCAAAAGCTATCACCTGCTGTTTAATGTTAAACACTTATCTCATCTCTTTTATGATGATGATTAATTTACTATCATTTGAGATCATTTATATAATTTATCTGATTTCGGTTCCAATTAGCAACCCAAACCGAATCATAATAAACCCCAAATAATGACGTTCCTTAATTCTAAAACCAGTTTAATTTTAGAGAAATGTTGAAAATCAAAACCATTTCGTCTAGCGAACATAGGCAATGAAACTTCGTATGATAACATCAGCTTCCAGGGTGACCGTGACATTTTTTCTAAATGACCAAGGTCTACGAAATGCATTATCCCCCTTAGTCTCGGGGAAATAAACACTGTGTGTAAATTTCTAGCGAAAATCGGATAATAACTGTAGCATCAAGAACGATCAGAAGCCACAATCAATTGTGGGCGGCGGATGAACAGACACGGCTGCTAACAATAATGCTATTCTATCGGTCGTAGGCCTATATCATTAACCACCCTTTTAAAGAAGTACTGTATTGAGTTAGATAGCCTTGATAAGAAAACACACTATAGCAGTTTAGGCTACCCGTAGAGTAGAGCCTGTAGGTTAGTAGGTCTACTGACATCACACGTTGTTCGAACTCGACATAAGGTTGATAGTTTGTACAGCTGGTTAACAACCCAACAACTAAACATATTATTATACTCAATTTATACCATTAATAGAGAAATATGTCCAGGTTTGACAGGTATGTATACTCCTTGAATATATAGATAGTAAAACTGTTGGATAAAGCACACTGTATTAATATTAAGGCCGATGCCCATTTTATGTAGTTTAATCGACCAATTTTCAGAAAACAAACCGACTAATAAAAACCACAATGATGTAGGCTATAATCAGTATAGGCCTGTGTATATGTATATTCGTTTCATAAAAGCAGGGTCTGACAAGGACAGCTGTCTAGTCCTTCGGATGAGACGAAAAACCGAGGTCCCGTGTATACATTGGAATGCACGTAAAAGATCCCTTGGCAGTTGGAATTCGATATAAGAGTAGGAGATAGTGCCGCTGCCCGGGCAAAATTTCCCTCATAGCACACCGTATGACGTATGCCCGTCTTCATTAGCCCAGTATAGGAGCAGAACAGTAGGACGTTAAACCCCATTTCATTTCATAAAAGGAAAGTAACTGCTGTTGGTATATACGGCATATATCTTATTCAAAGTTATGCGTTTATGAAACGTACACGATAACATTTAAATGGGTCAAAATGTAGGAATACTTATTTCATCTTGAGTGATCCAACTAGAGACAGTCGGGACTGTTAATATACGGTGATCCAACGAGGCCATCAATTATTTCCATAAGCATCATTGATCCGTGGTATATACGTTCCGCTTTCTATGGTATGTAAGGACTCTGCTGGTGACTTGGCCTCGAGGTTATTTTAGTAGTTCAGGCTTCTGAAATCCTGGGCTAAGCTATAGCTCTAGACTATTTGACAAAAAGTAACACCAGGCAGGATATGCCCACACTTTCTCGGTAGCACTTCTTATTGTATATTAAACACACTATAGAAACCCTGTGTTTACCATGTGATTGTATATGTTCTACTTCTAAATATCTTTCACACCCAGTTTGTTTGTTTTTATTACAGTGAAGCCATATGGAGGGATCTACGTCAGCGGGGATACTGTGTAATACCAAATGTGATTCCGGCTAAAAAGTGTGATGAACTTAGTCAAGAGCTAAAATCTTGGGCTCTGGCTCAAGATAATGGGGAACTTTTTAAACAGCCACACTCCCTGATCAATGTTCCGCGCATAGGTCATCTAGAATCTGCGTGGAAAGCCAGATTGCTGGCCAAGGATGCTTTTGCAGCAGTTTGGGGAACAGACAAGTTGGTTTCTAGCTTTGATAAATTATCAATATGTCCGCCTCCAGAAATCAGCACTGGTGATTTCGACACTGGCTTCTCGTGGCTACATGTAGACAGAAGCGGATATAGACGCGGTCTTCACGCATTTCAAGGTGGGATTTACTTAGAGGAAACAACAGAAACTGACGGTTGTCTGCGAGTTATGGAAGGTTCCAGCAAATATACCGATGAATTTTTTTCTACGCATCCCGAGGCTACCAAAAATAGCCACGACAAAGATCACTATAAACTGTCTGAGGATGAGATCGCGTGGTATAGCTCAAAGGGATGTTTCAAAAAGTTAGTTCCAGCGTCAAAGGGGTCAGTAGTATTGTGGGATACACGAACAGTGCACGATAACGTCAAAGCAAAGAAGGGGAGACCACACGCTGACAGATGGCGCTACGTCGTGTTTGCGTGCATGCTTCCAGCAATCTGGGCTAGCGATGCAGATTTAGAATTCAAGCGTAAAGCTTTCGAAAATATGTCGCTGACATGCCATATGCCATGTGTAAAAGTTCGAGCCCACTTGTTCAGTGAAGACATTCCAGAAAGTCTTAACGCCGTTCAGAAGATGCCCGATATTACTAAGACACCGGAAGTTCTAAGGTTGGTTGGTATTGAAAAATATGACTTTAATGACGGTAGACCGAATGGTCCTGAGGACAAACCGAAATGGACTTCAGATAATATTAAATTTTACGATAATTAGATATCTACCAATTTAATTAATCTGACCGTGAAAACTATTTTTAATATATATAAGGATTTCGATGATTATTGTAGTGATTCAATCTAATGAAGAAAAATTATGCATTTCGTTTCGTTTTTACTGATCTCTTTAAAGCAAATTGTTGTAAGATGGTAAAATATGGAATATAAAATTTAAAAATCAAACGAATCGCAGTACATCTCCATACAATATAAAGATTTAAAACGGATAGATCTGTAGATAGTTTGACTGTTTGTTTCTTATAGGAAACCAAACGGTTGATCTTTAAAATAAATTCAGATTAATCAGTTTTAAACGAAGTTTAATGGTGCTGTTTATTTTGTGCAGTATATGATGATGAAATTAACAATTAATTATTGCTTTATTATGGATGTTTGAAAAAAGTCCAATGTATATATATTTTTTTAAATACATTGATAATGCATACCCGTCTCTCTAGATAATACTGAATCTCGGGGCAATTTTACTTTTTCATCTACAATAGGGTACGGTCTGAATCTTTTACTATATGAATAAGATCTTTTAGTGTGCAAATAAACATTGTGATGATATATAATAATTTCTGTGGAATAAAATAATTTTGTGTGCTGTTTTTTTTTGTGTGTGCACAATTACGAATTTGTGGAAGTATTCAACGTATGTGGAAATCGAGTAAGGTGCTTGATTAGTTACCAGGAGATCCAAGTTTAGGTTAGATTCCGGGGTATAGCCGAGATGTTCAGAGTGATTCCCCTTTTCGCTGGTGCAGAACGGAGCGTCAGGGGTCCCGGTGCTAGCTGAGAATGTTGTACCTCGAGATTTTCAGAGTGATGCAGAACGGAATGGTGGTGCAGAACGGAGTGCCTAGCAAGGAACAGTGTCTATTCGTTCGGATGAGAGAAAAAAAACGAGGCCCCGTGTACACACTAAAGTACACGTAAAGAACCAATGACAACAGTATTTCGTCACACACTGCATACCGTTTTCTCATCTTCATTAGCCCATATAGTGTAGAGAAATGAAACGTTTCATTCATTCTTAACGTATGTCATCTTGAAATGAATAGATAACAACATTGTCTTGACAATGTATTAGATGTATTCCAATGTAATCAATCATACTGAAATTTGTTCTTTTTCTGTTTCATATTTTTCGTAAATGGCGACGCATGTTCTGAGACCGCTACAATATTTTAAACTGTACTTACATGCCGCATTACATAATCATGTGTGATAATTTCAGAAAAATAAAATAAATATTGCATCTAGAAATTCCCGTAATTACAATATTAAGCCCTGTGTACCAATACAGATAATTTGATTGGTCAATGAATGCACATGACCTGATAATATCGTTTTCATAACAGTATACCCAATGATATCGTTTTTATAATTGTATATAAAATAATATCGCGATCATAGTATACACCTAATATATTATATTTTTCATAATTGTTTTCAATTCTATTGTTATCAGTATGCTATATGCGATTGTCATTATTATAGTACACAAAAGAACTGTAAATGCATGTAGCGGGTAGCCATTGTTTATTTTACCAAATATAATAATCAGTGGTGAGAGAGAGAGAGAGAGAGAGAGAGAGAGAAATGGGGTTTAACGTCCACTCGACACAAACTAGGTCATTTCGGGACTAACATACGGTTTATTTTTTTTATTTCAATAATTCGCTTGCGCGTAGGGGTCTTTAGCAGTGGGAGGAATCCGGAGGACCCGGAGAAAACCCACGAGGTTGGACAGGCGACCCTACTCCTTGTCACGTACAACCGGGGATTCGAAACCACACCAGTTGACTCAATGACAGGCTTTATGATACAGCACGCACGTGCTAACCATTCGGCCATCCAACCCCCCAATAATCAGTGGTTCCTGATTATACAGTGCATAAATTCATGTAAAATTTATATTTTTATAATATTAGTTTATATAACAAGCGAAGAGAGAGAGCTAGCGAAATACCGTAGGACTATGCGCTCTCACCCCTGCCCCAGGGGTGACGTGAGACCATGGTTCTCCCAATATCCTGGCCCCACTGCCACCCTTTTAAGGCAAATGTCGCTCGGGATCACCTACCACCCTTGTAAGACAACTATTACTATGGGCGTGTGTCAATGTGGCCATGGCCCATCTACCACCCTAGTAAGACAAATCGCGCCCGGGACGTGTGATTCTGATTCACCTACCACCACTGTAAGACAACTGTCGCGCGGGACGTGTGACCCTGATCCATCTACCACCTTTGTAAGACAACTGTCGCTTGGCTTTCGCCCATCTACCACCCTTGTAAAACAACTGTCACTCGGGACGTGTGGCCCTGGTCCACCCACCACCTAGTAAGACAAATATCGCTCTGTATCTTTCTATTATAACTATATGGATATATTGATTACCAGAGTAAAGAGAAAACTCAAGCTGTTGTTACCTCTATTCTACTTACATATCGACTGCTATAGTCAGCATGATCGTCACATCATTACTACTCCACTAGATTCATTCATTCAGCAGCAACTACACAGCCGGCACGTTTCTCACTCCTTGCAAACAACCTGTTGGATATCTCTCATAGTATAAGATGGCGACCTCCAAATCTAATTCTCGGAGGATAGTGATTGCAATGGACGGAAGTGAATATTCGGATTATGCTTTTGATTGTAAGTACATACCAAGATTTGAGTATTTATGATAATTTAAAGTGTTGTTGATGTCGTATCAGAAATATATCGGATAATGACTCTTTAGCTTTAAAGTAATGTTTCTGTGGAATTGAAAGAGCACATTTCATAGTATTTCCGAAGATCGTCATACAATTGCGGAACGCGATCACCTGTATCGATGACTGCGATATTGAGAGGAAGCCGACGTTAGACCCATTCTTGTACTACTGTACACTAGTTTATACGCCTTAAAATCTATAATATACAACACATACGCGAAGAATTGGTCCTGATTTTCAACCTTAACTAAAACGTCTAAACTTTAAAGAGTAAAATCATTTATGTTAAATAGTTGGTCAAAACAAAACAAAATTCACAAACGTCTGATATGTCTTTCATTCTATATTTATTCAAGGTTACTCTTAATTGGTTTTTTTTCCGATTCCGGTACTTACTTCAAATGAACGATTAATTTGATGCAGGTCAAAATACAATAATGGGTGATAGGGCAACTTAAGAGTCGAAAGATTGGGCGGAAGTTGATTTATCTATTAATTTTACTTTCTTTTTGGCTTTCTGTGTGGACAGAGATGTAACAGTCGGTGATATCTCAATGTTGGCTTTATCTATGGACGTAAACATTTTCGATTGTTTATGTTTGGTCCATTGGTGTTTAAACTCACATGACATTGGTACATAAACTAAATACTTATAATCCTTGGTTACAAAACCGTGACTTAGCATTCTAAAGTCGGAAAAATTTGTTGTAGTTAATCAGCTTTTAATCATCGCCATTTGTCGTTTCTCTATAACGTCACTATATGTAAAGAAAGCATTACGAATTAGAGTTTTCCAGAACTGTATTTAACAATACAATATATTTGTAAATAGCCATATTGGACCTGGTTGACTATTATAAATTCTAAAATTAAAATAAAAATATTACTACTTTAAGTTTTCATAGATAATAGGTCGACACGTACGATAAAAATAGACATAAACAAGAGAGCATTGTGCATGAATTTATAAAACAAAACTAGATTAATATTGGAAAACGATAAGACGGTAAGAAGTACCCACATCGCGTGTTAATAATAAAGTAGTACATATAGAACCTTCTTTGTATGTTAACGATTAGATCTTAAGAAAATATCTCTATGACGTGGTATCTACTTTAATCTTATCATGATTACAGGAATGTAGTTTTTATATACTTCTTTTACATGTTTTGTACATTACAGTGCAGACATCGTGTGTTTTACTCATTATATAATAAAATTGGGGGTGGGGGGTAGCGTGCAACTTTCACTGGACCAACCGGGCTACTGTAGACGAGTACGTCATGCAATTTGTCATGCTATAAGGGAAATTTTGCCCGGGCAGCGGCCTACTCTTCGTTGAATCCCAATTACCAAGACTCCCTTTATGTGCACGCCAACGAGTACACTGGACCATGTTTTTTCATCCCATTCGACGCTAGTCTATGCCAAATCGTGCATGCTGCACCGCTGACAAGGCGAAACGACGATAAAAAAAAATCACCGCGGCCCCTTCCTTACTCCTTATGTACAAAATATCAATTTTTCCAGTTGATTTAAAAAGTATTTATTCAGAATTCTTATATACAACTATGATGGGAATAATATGAATAAATTGGATACAGTAACAAGCAACTTAATGCTTATATAAAACTGCTTCCAGAAAAGGGTGATATGAATATAATTTTTAAAGATCAGCTGGCAATGTAATAGAATAAGAATGGTTATCTAAATTAATGTTTTAGTAAATGATGGTATGTAGAAAGGGTGCTAAGTAAGAAGTAAGAAAAATCAAATAAAAGAAGAGAAAGAAAAATGAAGAGAAACATGGGGACATAAATATAGGGGAGGGGAGGGAGGGGATTCGATAGAGATTTGAGTTAGAAAGAAGCTTGGGACGCAACGCCAGAAAACCAGAAAAAGCCAAACACGCACCAAAAGCTAGTCAGGAATACTTTTATTATAGTAGTTTTAAATGTTATTAAGTACACATTTCTCGCGTGAGGCTAGGTTACCCATGGATTGAGCAAAGAGGGATTAGAATGTGATCAAGCTAAACATTTTTCGCATTTCCAAGTTGTAATAGTGATTCGCAGGGAGTGGAAGCACCTTCATTTCGGAGATTTGAAGCGTTTTGTTAGAGCTATATATTGGTGAACGACCGAGAGTACAGACATATTTTTATTATTTGAAAGATTGTCAATCCCAAACAAAAGTGAATTAACATTCTTGTAATGGTCGTCCAATTTATCGATAGTGAGTTTGCGTTGGTCTATAAAAAGGCGGCAATGAAAGAAATAATGTTCGCTAGATTCACACCTGTTTCCGCATAAACAGGATGGATCGTCAGATATATGCATGAGGTATTTATGATGATTTAGGTCAGATTTAGAGTTGCGTAATTTAGAATAAATAATCTGGAACGACCGGTCGCCAAAATTGAAAAGATCGTTGTATTTAGGTTTACCGTATGCTTTTCTAATCTGAAATTTGAATGAAGAGATTGAATTTGAAGTTTTGACGTTTTCATCGAGACGATTCCATTCTTGTACTGATGATGGGAAAAACGAATTTTGATAAAGATTAGATTTACAGTTAATACTCATCAGATTATTGGAGTTTCTGAGTTGATATGGTTGACTGGACGCTATAGATAGAGGGACCAAATCCAATAGGAACGAGGGTGTTTGTAGATTGATAATTTTGAAAAATAAAACCATTTTATGTTCATAACGTCTTTTTAAAAGACTGGAAAATCCAGATTCAGTATAAAGTAAATTATGAGAAGTACCGCGAGGAAGGCCTGTAATGGTTCGAATGGCGTCTAAATGAAGCGATTCTAGCTGTTCACTTTTTTCTTTTGTACAGTTATTCCAGACACAATCAGCGTAGTCGAAAAGTGGTAGGATAAAAGATTTGAAGATAATTTCAAGAGTTTTACGTTTTAGTCGATATTTTAGTGACCGAAAGCAGTTAATGGTTTTGCTAATTTTAGTTATCATGTGGTTAATGTGGGTATCCCAAGTACAACAATTATTAAAATAAACGCCGAGATGTTTATGAGTGTTAGCATCAGTTAGAAGAACATTATTGAAATTTAATCTAAGAGAAGTAGGTGATAGTTTCCTGGAGAAGGTAAGGCTAGTAGTTTTGGAAGGATTGAATGTTACTTTCCATTTTAATGACCATTTGTAAATCGTTTCAAGATCAGCGTTTAATTTATTTTGAGCAGAGACTTGGTTATCTATTATTAGAAATAATGAGGTATCGTCAGCGAAGAGGCGTATATTAGATGAAATGTTATTTGTTAGGTCATTAATATAAAGGAGAAATAAAAGGGGACCAATTATCGACCCTTGCGGCACACCTGCGGAAACACTTCTTGTAAAAGATTGTTGACCATTTAGGACGACACATTGCTCGCGATCCTGGAGATAATTCGTAATTAATTTGTGAGTGTCGTAACGGATACCATAGCTGTATAGTTTATGAAGTAACCCGCGATGTCAAACTCTATCAAAGGCTTTACTAATATCAAAAAAGACAGATTTTACTTCATGTCCCTTATCAAGAGCCTTGCAAATATAATTGTACATTTCTAGAAGATGGTAAGTAGCTGAGTTGTTAGGGAGAAATCCGGATTGATGGGGAGTAATAATTTTAAGCCTAATGATGAAATTGAAAATATGATTATAAATAATCCTTTCAAAGACTTTACCTAGAGAACTAAGGAGAGAAATGGGTCTGTAGTTTGTGCAGTCGTGGGCACATCCTTTCTTAAAGATGGGAACAACATTGGCAGATTTCCAGCAATTTGGAAAGATACAACTATCAGCTAGTATTGTAAAAAGGCGGCTGAGTGGAATTGCCAGGGATTTGTGGAGTAATTTTAGAACAAAGTTGTTCACATTATCATGTCCACGTGATTTTTTTAGGGGTTAAAGAAGAAAGCGTATCTTCGACTAATTTAGGAGTAATTGTCAGGGAAGAAATTTCTATGGTAGAGAACGGTAAGTCTGGAAGGCCGTCTTGATCCGAGTCTAGTATCGTCTGGGAGACAAAATAATCGTTTAGGACGTTAGCTTTATCACAGTTTTCAAAATATATCTTATCATTATATTTGAGAGGTGGAATTTCCTGGTTAGAGCAGCCTTTCTTTAAAGAGATTTGTTTAACCAAAGACCACCAACGCGATTCACCGAAGTCATTATTATTAATTTTAGTGTCAATCTTTGAATAGTGCAAGGATTTGGATTTCCTTATTTCGGAGATGACAATATTGCGGGATTTTCTGAAATTCTGCCAATCTAACTGTAAATTAGATTTTTTCGCATTTTTATGAAGTCTATTACGTTTGCGAATGAGAAGTCTGATTTTTCCACTCATCCATTTACGGTCATTTAGTCTGATTGTAACGGTTTTATTTGGTATGAAATTCTTCAGTTCAGAAAAAATTGTTTTGGATATATTATCCGCAAGTGTATGAGGATCGTCATGTAGCTGAAAAATATTGTCCCAGTTGTAACTTGAAAAGTGATTATTAAGATCCGTGGCATTTAGTTTGGAGTAAGACCAAACAGTTCTTTGAAAGCATTGAGTTTTTGGAGAAGTGAAATTTAGACATAAAATGATATTGCTGTGATCACTAAGGCCCGAATCAGAAACGCTTACATTCTTTACGAAGTCGGGGCAACTAGTTATGGCCAAGTCTAAAAGAGATCGAGAAGATGGTGTAATGCGGGTTGGCTCGGTTACCAGCTGATGAAAGTCAAATAGACAAATTAGATCATGGATTTTACTATTTAAAGTGGTTAGGAAATCTATATTAAAGTCACCTAAAATAATTACATGAGAATTTGGAAAATTACAAACAGTTGAAAAACTATCTTCAATTAACTTCCAATAGCCACTTTTACTGGAAGGCGGCCTGTAAAAAGATCCAATCAGAATATGTTTAGA